TGGGATTTATGACCAAGGCTAGCTGGCTGAGGGACATTGCCTCTTTCTGGCTCTGAAGTCACAGGGATACAGCAGAGTCTGAGACAAAGGTACCACTGGTCCATGTCTGACCACCGTAGGAATATGAGAGTGGCCCACTGCTGAAATGCTGAAATTGGGAAGTAGCATCACATAATAATTGTATATTTTGGCTTGTTTGCTCTCTCTCTCTCTCTCTCTCTCTCTCTCTCTCTCTCTGTGTGTGTGTGTGTGTGTGTGTGTGTGTAACATGTACACACAGAGGCCACTGCATGTCACTCTGCCTTGTACTTTTGGGATAGGGTCTCTCATTTGAACCAAGACTGGCAGCCAGCAAACCTCAACAATTCTCCTGTCTCAGTTCCCAACTGCTGAGTTAGAAAAGTACACTATCCAGCTTTTTACATGGGTGCTAAAGATTTGAACTCGTATCCTCTCTGTAAGCAGAGAATTCTCTTACCCTCTTACCTACTGGATTATCTTCAGCCCCATCTTTTCATCCTAACCTGTTCCTTTCTTCCTCCTTTTTTTGGTTTGGTTTGGTTTGGTTTGGTTTTTCAAGACAGAGTTTCTCTGTGTGGCCCTGGCTATCCTGGAACTCACTCTGTAGACCAGGCTGACCTTAGACTCACAGATCTTCCCAGTGCTGGGATTAAAGGCTTGTGCCACCACTGCCAGGCTGCCTGTTCAGTTCATGTGTCCACCCCTGTTCCTGGGAGCTGAGAGGGAACTTCTAGGACGTGAGGCCTGAATTTCAGCTTGCTTTGGTCACACAGAACAAACAATAACAGGCCAGCCCAGATCATGGGTGGATGGCAGACTTCCCCTGTGGCAGGGTGTGTAAGTCAGCTGTGCTAGGTAGCTGAGAAGAACAATGTCAGGGGGAGAGATTTACTTCAGCTCATGATTTCACAGGCCTCAGGCCTTACCCTTCTAGCCTAGTGCCTCCCCTACATATCTTTAGGTTAGGTCCAGATTGGCTCACATTCCAAGTAGGGAAGTGGAGGCTCAATGGTAAAAGAAACTGCACCCAGACACACGCCTGGGGAGTGCCCTGCTTCCGGGTCCTCTTCTGGTCCTTCCCAGCATCCTCTTACCAGCTGTCACTCAAAGGAAACATGACCCAAGCCGTCAAAGAGCCCCCCTCCTCTGGGACTGACATACAGAACCAGGAGAGGAAGGTCTCTGATTGGAATTTCTAGCTGGGCTGACTCAGCCATTTCCCAAAAGGAGAAGCAAGGGCCAGGCTGAAGCTGGGTGGTTTTGATGAGCAGAAGGAAGGTGTAGCACTTCTTCCAGGTCACTGGATGCTCCTTCAGTGGCCCACGTCCCTTACAGGTGCACTAGTTGGGGTTCAGTTTCTCAGAGGCCATTTCCCTAGCAGCCACCAGGGCCACTCAACAGTGAGAGCAGAAAGCCACCTTTCTTTCAGAAGTGACAAGCCTCAGCAGACATGACCAGTGGTGTTTTGTTATGTGCACCCAGGAAAGCAACCTCTCCTCGGGTGCTATAGAATAACAACACCTCCCCTGCAGCCCTGAGGAGGAGGACAGGCCCCTCCCAGGTGGTGAGCAGAACCAGGTTTGCAGGTCTCTTGCACAACCTCTCTGCAAGCCTGAGGCTTGGTGGGCTCACCTGCAGAGCAAGGGCTGCCCAGAGACAGATGAGCACAGGATAAGTCTGGGATGTGTGTGCAGTGGGATACATACACACACAGACACAGACACACACACACACACACACACACACACACACACACACCTATAGGCATGCTGCACATGCACTTTCTATCCCATTATCTCCCAGAAGCTTTAGACGGAGCTAGTGCTGTTTTTCCTGTTGTGCAATGAAGGTAAGGAGCTTGGTGGCTGAACCACTTCCTCAGAGTCCCACAGTGGGTAAACAGAGGAAATGAGTGTGAGCACCAGGCTTAGGGGCTTAGGTGACACACCTGCTACTTAGTATGCCTCCCTTTGCTTAGGGTTTGCCCTCCAGGCATGCTAAGCCTGGAGCAGGAGGCAGCCAGCTAGAACCCCTCTGCTCAGACTCAAGCTCTTTGGCCCCCAGACAGGCCTTTCTCAAAACACCTCTGCTGCCCCTCTGGGAAATGACAGTGAGGGGTTCTGTCAGCTTCATCCAGGGTTAAGATCAGAAGCGAAAGTAGCCATAGCCATGAGCTCTCCTTCCTCTCTCCATCCCTCCCTTTCTTCTATTCCTTCCCTCCCATCCATGGCCCACCTTTTGCTATAGACCAGACTTAGGACTTCGGCTCTAGAGCCAGATGACTCTGGAGGTTATCTAGTTCAACCTTCATCTACAGATGAGGCTCAGAGAAAGCAAACTGCCTATAGTATCACAGAGCAAACCAGGGCTGAGCTCAGCACGCTGTAACCAGCTCTCCTGGCCCCTACCTGGGTGTTCCTGGAAACAGCCATCTGGCAGATGTGAATAGAGGTGGGTTAGTGATAGTGGTGGTGGGGTCAGCATGGCAGATAGAACGATAGCTGGTGCCTCCCTGGGTAAGGCGTGGCCAGCAGGAAGCTCTCTGAAATACTGACTTGACAGATCAGATAACCAGTATCACCCTGGTGACTGAGATGGACAACATGGTGCTCCCAGCAGTAAGAGTGTGATGCCCTGTCCTGCTCTGCCTGGCCAGCAGTCTTGTCCCCACTGACTTAGAGCCTGAAACCTAGGTGTCCAGCACAGGCCTTGCAGAGAGTGACCCTTGAGGAGAGCAAGACAGGGAAGGGGGATGAAGAGGGAAAGAAGAAGATAATGGGCCCTAAAGATGATCAACAATTTTCTCCCAAGCCCCAAAGGGAGTCCCTTATAAAATACTCCTTATTATAGCAATGGGAGACTTGGGTGCAGGGAGGGCAGACCGGGTCTAGATCCCCCTGACAATCAACCCAAGCTTTGGCATCTTTTCCTTATCACTTTTCCATCCCACATAGATCAAAATGTTCTGCCTGAGCTGTGCCCTGTTCTTCACCCATCAGAAAGAGAAGAGCAGTTGGGAGGGGCCACAGCTAGGCAACAGGAATCCTAAAACTGGCTCCTGACCTTCAGTCCCTAGGAGCCCAGGGAACTCACTTTCTCCCTCCCACCTGCTTGCCACAGGCCCTTCCATCCTGACGCTGGGCAGGGGAAAGCTGGGCCTGTGTATTAGCTCAAGGCTTTCCAGAAACTTCCTTGTGAGCCTCAGCTTTTAAATCTGGGATGTTAATCCTGACTGGAGAATATAGATGATTTTGTGGGGTTGTATTATTCCTGTCTTATGAGCAAGACAACTAAGTTCAGGAGGTTTAAGGTACTCCTTAATCACACACTATTTTAGCTAAAAATAGAACCAGGGAAGTTCTGCAAGAACCCCAAATCTATTTTGTTGTCCTTCGTTTGCGCTTCGCAACAGGTCCTCCCTCTACAGCCCAGTTTAGCCTCAAATTCTGGGTGATCCACGGGTGCTCATTCTGGTTACAGGTGTGAGCTCCAGGGCTGCAATGGGGCTGGATCTGTTGTGACTCCCAGCTGCTCTCCATTTCCATTTCACCTGGAAGACATCAGGCAGAGGTAAATGTTTGGGGACATTTACATGAATACTACAGAGCAGACAGAGGCCACCTGGAAGGGCTCTGACAGTGAAGTCTCTGGTGGCAGGGGAACCTGCTTGGAGGCCTTTGTCTAAGAGGCCTAAGAATAAAACTCTAAGAGGAAGAGTTTTATTCTTCTTCCAGCTCCTGAGCACCCCACCCAAAGCCCCACTGCCAATCCACTGTCTTTAAAATGGGACTGACTTAGCGCCCTGAGCTGGTCGATGATGACACCCTGATGCTGTGCTTTTGTGTCTACAGGCTATTCTTGTTTATGTATGGAGTATGTGTGTGTTTGGTGCTGCGTGCTTGGGAACTGCATATGTGTTCATTCTCACAGTGTGTGGAAACTCCGTGTGTTTGAGGGCACTCTGTGTGTTGAGTGCCAATCTAATGGCATACCTATGTGCTACTGAGTACATGGGCATGTGATATGTATAAGTATCTCCTGGTAGTGTGTTTGTAACCATTATGATTTGTCCCAACCCAGCGTACAAGAGGGCGAGTATGACAAGGAGGCTTCAGGGCCATTATAGATTGTGGGCACCTCCCCCTTTGAGTGTGTGTTTGTGTGTACATATGTGTTATGTGGGGAAATCTGTGAACAACACAGCAGCTATGAAGAATAGGAAAAGTCTATCAGTTTATGAGGCCCTAGCAAACTCCTCCTTGCCTCCATTTATTTCCCTATCTACTAATAAGCTAGACAATTCTTGAGCACATTCTGATTTGAAATTCCTAGAACAAGGGACAGAAGCTGGTGTAACACAGCAACCAGTGGGTAGTTAGAAACTGCGGGGAAATAGAGCTGGCCCCGGTTCTAGTCAAGGAAGGCCAAATAAGCAGGGGTGGGGGTGGGGGGTGGGCGCTCAACTTAAGACAGGACTACATCTCAGAGGAAGTCATCTCCAGTGTCTTTTAGTTTCTGAAACCTGCTGCTCTGCTGGGACCCAAGCCCTGCGGATCGCTGGGTGGAATTGCCCACAATCAAGCCAGAGTCTAAGACAGAAGACTGTCGACTTGCAGTCAATTTACAATGCGCTTCACATAGCAGAGCCCTAGCATCTCCTGGAAGCCAGCGCCCCTCCGAGATGCCTAGAAAGATGGTCCCTGGACGACAGAAGCGCAGGGCTCAGGACCCCCAAAGACAGCAGCAAGAAAGTCACAAGAGCTCATTGTGGTACTGGGTTCGGCACTGTGGCCCAAGACAGACCCTCTTGTCTGGTTCAAGCTCTTGATGGTTATTACTAGCTTTCGAGGTGGGCCTTCAGAGCGTCCGGCGCGCCGCTGGCACGCAACAGACACCCTTTCAACACTGGTTGTGGCGAGCAAGTTCCCTTCCGTACTGCAATAGGGTGCGAAGTGTCCCGGAGCGCCGGGCGGGCGCCGCGGGTCCGAGGCGTCATGGGGACCCCGCCTCCACCCCGCGCGAGCCACCGGGTGGGGATTCGGCGCGCTGACGTGGGCGGATCAAAGCGGCGGTCCGCGCCTTATAAAGCGCTTGGGCTGGCGGGCGCCGCAGATCGTGCCGGGAGAAGGGAGAGCTCCAAAGGTTCGCGAGCGCAGGCCGGAGAGCCGAGCACAGCCTTCAGCAGCCGGCATCCGCGCCCGGGTTGCCAAGATCCGCAGCGCCCTACTGTGCCGTGTCTAAGGACACGCTGTCCTCGCCGCTCTCACAGACGGGGGCCAGACTCCCAGCTCCAGAGAGCCGCCAGGACTGCGGGATACGCAGGAAGCGCCAGAAGAGTACCCCGAAGGTGAGCAGCGGCCGCAGGCAGATGTTCATCGGAAACCCGCTGGGGTAGGGAGGAAGGCAACTGAGCCCAAGAGACGTCCCTATTGGGCACCCACTCTTGGGGAAGCAAACCAAAGTGAACTTCGTTGCTCTCTTTTCCTCACCTCTCTCTGCAGCATTCCGAGTAAACCCTCTTGGCGGAGCACAGCTGCAGGAATGACCGGGAACTAGGGGACTAGGGGGTTGCCGGATGGGGTGGGTTGCGCGGTTCCTTCAGTTCTCCCCCAGCTCTTCCGATTTGTCCTCCATCCCAGGACTCGGTCCCCTCCCTCGCAGTCTGCGGGTTGATGAGGTCACGCCCGAGCCATCCCGGGGGTGGGGGATTTGGATACCGCGACGGAGGGTGTGTGTGAGGAGGCGGGAGAGGGGACAAAAGGCTAGAAGTCCGCAGCTCCTACCAGAGCCGAAGGTGGGGAGCTCCGGGTGATGAGGAGGGCGTCTAGAGGCAACTGGTAAAAGGAGGTAAAATGAGGGAGGGTGAATTTGTTTACCGACCTGAGCTCCAGGTTGGGGGGTAGGGAGGCGAGTCCTGCCCCTGCCCCCGTCCCGCGTCACATCTGGAGCCGCTCCGAACATCTGACTGAGTTCCACCAGTCCCATATCTTCCACCCGTGGCCCTGAGGTTCCTCCATGTCCCTCATGGTCTTTGGGAATGCAGGATTCGGCTCCAGCGGGTGGCAGGAGTTACGCACTCTCGCTTTCCACTTTCCAAACACCGCGTCTCCGCGGTGACCTGGCGCAACACAGAAGATACTGACAGAATTTCGGCTGAGCGTAAAGTCAGATCTCACGCAGCCTCGCAGGTAACCTTGAAGATGTCGCTCGGCGTCCCTGTCGCACCCTTTCCGTTTTGAGAGCTTCGCGGCCAGGCTCCTGGAGCGGCCCGCTTGCACAATATACTGGTGCGGACGTTGTCCCCATGCGCAGCACCAAATCCTGGGCCATCATGGCACATTGAGTTTGAGAGGTTTGGCGAATCCTTGCCAGTTAGGCTGAGCGGGGAGATTACTTTAAGTGAAATTTCTAGAGCTCTAAACAGCCCTGAGCCTTAAGCCCACCTGTTGGCGGCCAGAGACTGGGCTACGGTGCGCGTGGTGTCCCGCGTTTGCACAACCCCGGGAGGCTCGTTTCTCCGACTGCAGCAAGCTGGACTTGGACTTATTGTCCAGGGGGCAGAAGAAAGGGTTGCTTTCTCTTTATCTATAAGCACTGCTCCGTTTTCCGCGGGCCCACTACGAGACTGTCCCCAACGCAGGCTGGGAGCCCAGACTGAAGCAAGAGGTTGCGTAGTTAGTTCAGGGCTAACAAAAACAAGTCTTAAGAGATAGCCAGGGCCAAAAGGAAAGTCACCCTGCACTTCATCCAAGACGGGAATTTTAGAACCCAGGAAAAGGAGGGGACTTGCCCCAAGTCCCACTTTGTGAGGCTGGGGCAGATCTTTCTTAGAACTCAGGCTTAGCGCCCCCTGGCGGCCTGGGGACTCCCGGAGGCGAATGCGCTCTGACTCTCAGGGCACAAGCTGAGGGTGACCCAGAGGCTCGCCTTGCAGTCCTATCCTAAAGATAGGATAAGAATAATGTCAGGACCCAGAGGCCCAGGCCCAAAGATGCTCCCTCAACAACTCACGGTAGTGGCGGAAGAAGTTTAGGACCGCTGGAGCTGGAGCTGCTGGAAAGAGAAGGGAGTAGAGCCTGGCTCCCTGTCTGCTGTGCGATCTGGGCCACCCCTCCTCTCACTAGGAGAATTGAGCTGGACACTAATAGCCCGCTGTAAGTCCTTGAGCTTCGTTCTGTGACCAGCCCTTACCCTTCCCTTCCCATTCAAGAATTCTGGGCGCTTTCGGCGACCCCACACTTAAGGAGGGAACAAAGAGACAATGACTGGGGTTTTGAAGGCCCCCTTCAGCCAAGATCCTGCATATACGTTTCTCCTTTGGGTAAGTGTGTAAACTTCTAATAGCGAGGGAAAGATCTGGATACAGAAGAGGTGAGAGGAGGAGTCGGACTACACCAAAATCCTGCTGAGACCCCACTCGCGTGTGTCAAACACTTTGGACCTGAGGGACTCTGTGGAGGAGAAGCCGGGAGGGGGAAGCAATTCAAGGTTTTCTATTTGGATTCCTCTAGATTCTGCCAGAAGGCCCCAGAAAACTATGATGTCTGAAATGTGTGTGTGTGTAAGTGTGTGTGTGTGTGTGTGTGTGTGTGTGTGTATGCGCGCGCGTTTTCGCTGGTGTACAAAGCACATACCTACATGTGTTCAGGCTACACGGGTATGCATAATAGTGGATACAGGCAGAGAGATCGGACGAAGATCAGAAAGCTGGAGTCCTGTTCTTTGTTTTTATAAAAAGAAAAACTAAGGCTGGGGTGGTTAAGGGCTTGCCCAAGCTCACAGACCAAATGAGAACCGCTCTTCCCGGTTCCAGCGACCTCCCCACCAGCACCTCCCCCCAAGTCTGGCACTTCCTTCTTCAGACTCTGTGGACCCTTTAGGGAAGAATCCCTTTGTCTTTGCTCCTCCAGAGGAGAGGGGGGCTGTGTATATTCGGGGCGAACGCCAGGTGTTGGTAAATTTGGGAGAAGCCGGGAAGAGAGTTAATGAGGTGAGAATGATGAGACGGGGGCAAGCCTCAGAAAGCAGCTCCGCTGGCTTCAAGCGGGCGGGGTAGCAGCTCCTCCGCAGCCCCAGCTCGCCGCCTGCCGGTCCGAGGCAACCTTTTGCAGGGCTGGCGCTAAGGAGCTCTGGCGGTGCGGTGGCACTGAAGCGGGATGTCCAAAGTGGCGCTTCGGGCTCTGCAGATCCTTTGGTGTGGGAAGAGCATCCATCACCATTCCATTTTTCCAGTTTCCCCTTCCCATACTGAAAAGTAGGTGCCCAGAGGTGGCAAGTTTTATGTTTTCTCTTTGACCTGACCTCATGAGGAACAGGTAGACCAGATAGCTGAACAGCCCAGCACCAACTGGGCGCTCACTAAGCCGGTTTCCCATCTCTGGGCTCCGGTTTCCTCGTCTGAGATGGAGGAGCGACAATACCTATCACAGGACTGGGAGGAGCAAAGGCGGCCACACTAGGAGACTTCTCAGCAAAGAGGAAACTCCGGATGAATCATAGAATCACCAAGGCTGCAATAACTAGTAATCAATATCGTGGATTCTAATAGGAGCCCAAATCCCTTCCCGGATCAGCTGCCTCGGCCCGGGACCTTCGTTCCTCTCTCTGTGGTCGCTTCGACAGTTTGTGTGCCTCCGGCGGGTGTCTCGTTCGCCGCCTGAGGCTTGCGGTCCTTTGGTGGCTTTCTTCTGGGTCTCACCCAGTACCTCGGTTCTGCGGCACACTGCCCTTCCTGGGAGGTACAGCTCTGATCACCCCTGGGCGACACGCCCTCGGCCGCGCTGGGTTCTCACCTAATCCCAGCCTGACGCCAGCGGGTCTCCGTGAGGCACGGGGCGGTTGCGGATGCCTGCCTTGCTCGGCCTCCCGGGCCCGACCCCTCCTTTGTAATTTGAATAAAACGCCTCCCAGCCCGCGCACCGCCCTAACCCGCCGCCCCACTCTTCCTGACTGCAGGCGGCGTGCGCGCAGGACCAGCGGTGGTGGCCTGCAGGCGGCGGACTTCGGCGCGGTTCCTGCAGGGTGCGACCCCCGGGAGCGCCGGGCGCGCGCGACGATGAGGGCGCGGTCGCAGGTCTGCGAGGCTCTGCTTTTCGCCCTGGCGCTCCACACCGGCGTGTGCTATGGCATCAAGTGGCTGTAAGTAGGACCCCGCTTTTACTCCAATGGGCCATGGGGCGAGCGGCTAGAGAGGTTGGATGAGAGCGCCAAAATCTGCGAGGCCAAGTTAGCTTGAGCGTCCGGAACCGGGCATTCTTAAGCTTGAGCCACCTCCTCTATGAAATGCTGTTCTTATTCTCTGCAGGCTTGCGAAGTGGGTGAGGGGATTTTGTCATCCAGGCCAGGGTTGCACAAAGGCCAGAGAGGGACTTCGGAAACATTCTAAGTGGTACAACCCAGAGGGTCTGCTCAGTGCAGGACACAAGGGGCGACTTAGGACCTTGGCCCGTCAGCCTCCTGAAGGTCTGCAAAGACAGTTTTGACCCCCTCCACCTGAGCGACCTTGGGGGAAGTGTCACTCTAGCACTACCTCCTGGGGCCTCAGTGTACTCGGCCAGAAGGACAGCTAGGACTGCCTCATCCGGATCAGATAGGAGGCTCCCTAGAGGGCTCCCAAACTACCAGAGGCTGTGTGCACACGTGCAGGGTGTTCTGTAGGGATAAATGGTCGCTGGGGGCAGTTTCCTCCCTGGTTCCCCCATACAGTGCCTGCTTCTTCTGTGGTGGCTGCTGGAAGCAGCGTGGAAGGAGTGGGATGAGAGGGAAAGCAGCCCCTTCCTGAAGGAGCTGCCCCTGGGCTGGGAAAGATAAGCCCCGTCTGTAAATAACTTTCCAAGTACTCTAGGAGTGGGGGCTGGGGGGGGGGCTCAGAGGAGGGCAGCCTGGTTGGGGCACTCTTGTGGGTTACAGAGATTTTCCACGGCTTGCCACTTGCAGATGCAGAAACGGGGAATTCAGCAGGTAGATGATGCGGAGGAGACTCAGAGCGTACAGTGCCCTGGGGGAGAGTCTAGAACGGACCCTAAGTTTCCCTTTGGGTCGTGTGTAGGGAGCCTGCAGATAAAACAAGGGATAGATTGTGGGTACTGAAGAGGGGTTCTGAAAGAGAGGATGGTAGCACACTGGACCTCTGGAAAACAGTCTTGAGGTCACTGGTCCAGCCCTTTCTGGTGCTGAGTTATTGATTAAATAATTCAAGAGGGGAGTCACATTTTCGTGAGCTTCTGGTTTACAAGAAAGGTGGTCTGTCCTGGGCGGGGCTCCTCCCCTATCCTCAGGCTGCTCTTAAGCACTCTTGCCCATTCTTGCACCAGGCAGGACACAAGTCAGGGAGAGAGGCTCTCTTCACCGCCACCACTGTTTTACAGGCCAGGAGGTGAGGGAGAGTGGGAAGGGGTGTGCTGAGAGGTGCAAGGGCCTTCATGCTGAGCAGCAGGCTTGGGCGACTCATTTTGCTCATAAAGAGTCCTGGGGACACTACTCTTGTCCCTCTTTACCTGTCCTCCAAGGGGAACACTGAGGTTCTGGGATGCATGTGACTCACTCAGTCCCAAGCTGGCACGTGCTGGGTGGGGAAGGTGACTGGCTGAGAGCAACACTCAGCCTAGCTCCACCCCATAGTCTAAGCCATGGCACAAATGGGCACAGCTCAGTGTCTGCCTTCAAGACATTCCGCCAGGGAGGACTTAATGGGCAGCGATGGAATGTGAAGCAGGTGTCCCAGGAGGAAGAGCATGAATAGAAGTGTGGAGGCAGGAGCATCCCCTGACCCTTCTTGTGGGGGAGCAGGGGCCACAGTGCCTTGCAGGCAGTGTCCTATTACAGCTCTGAGCTCTATGGGCCTCTATCTGATTTGTTAACACTCCTTGTGATAGGTGACAGTCTTATCATTGTTGGTTCACAATAAGGAAGTTAAGGTACAGAGAGGCTAAGTAACTGCCACAAGGTCACATGCTGGTTCTCTGTGACTGTGAGATCAGAACCAAAGCAGAGGGCTCAGGAGGCTGAATCTTGATAATGGTTGAACTATTGCTGGAGCTGGAAGATAGAGAAGGATCTGGGAGGAGAAGCGGAGCTTAACAAGGGTAGAGCCAGGCCAGTAATCTCAGCTACTGAAGAGGCCGAGTGAGGCAGGGAGATGACAAGTTCAGCACCTACCTGCGTTACAGATGAGTTCAAAGCCAGCCTGAGCAATGGAGTGACATTCTGCCTTAAAAACAAACAAACAAACAAAAGCAATAAGGGCCCGTGAGGCCCCAGATTCAATGGCCTGCACTCAATGCCCTGTCCTCCCTCAGGGAAATGGTGTGGGTGGACATAGGCACTCGTGCACACAGATGTGCCTCTCTATGTGCTGTTTTCAGCATACACATAGTTTGTTTCAGTCTCCCAACCTGTGCTGTGTGCTGTTTCCCTGAGCAAAGGAGAGGAAGACCTTGGAGGTTCTTAAACAGAGCTTCATAGCCAGTGAGGAGCACAGCGGAGCTTTGAGTTGGGCTGTTGGTAGAAGGAAGTCCCAGGGCAGTGTGAGGTGGGGTGGGGACTCATCAGGGCCAGCTGTCCTGGGGGCAGTCCTGGGGACCATATGCTTGGGCTTGGGAAGTGACCTGGAGATGAAAGGGACATCTGACACAGGAACTGAAACCAGATGTGGCTCTAGTGACCTGAGGTGCCCACCTGGTGGGCTTCTGGGTCAGACAACCTAAACAGGTGGGATGGGGGATTGGGGAGCAGGGTCAGAACCTGACTGCCTAGAGATACATTGAGAGCCTTGAAGGCATTACCTCCAAAGCCAGAGGTGGGGGAATCATAATGGGTCAAGGGGGAGGGAGGAGCGGGGAGAGCAAATGTGAGCCTTTTGCCCCCTCTGGTAGAGGAGGGGAGAAGACTCTGGGCCTGCTAGGGGCCTCTTGGAGGCTGTCCTCTCAAAGCAGCTGGTGGCATGGAGCCTGCTACTCAGCAAGGGCGGGCCCTCTCTAGGAAGTCTTAAGAGGCTCTGGAAGGAGTGTGGCTGCTGTGAAGTGAGCAAAATCTGTGCTTAGGTCCAGGCAGACCTTCAGCCTCTCTGTATCTCTGCTTCTCAGCTCCAACATGGGCTGGAAGGAGTCCTGGCCTGGCATCTGGGAGGTCTAGCTTCTAGCTTCTAGCTGGCCTCTGCTTCTGATTGGCTGCACACAGAGGTGGGCAATCCTGCTCTCCTTCCTTGACAGTACATGAAAACTCCTTTCCACTCTTTGGCTAGCAAGTGTCTGAGCAAGGCAACCAGGTAGGGCTCTCCTTAAGGATGATCCTGTGAATATGGGGCCAGGCAGGGGCCTCTGAGGTCTAGGCAGTGCCTGCTAGGCAGGATTGGATCTCTAGCTTATAGGCTTCCCGCCCTTCATCCAATGCCTCCAATGCCACTGGCCCATTTGTGAAATTAGGAAAGGAGCTGGTCTTGTTCATCGAGGCTCTAAGATCCTAAGACAAGTTCCTAGGGGAAGCTAGGTCCCATATTCCCTGGGCTTCTCCTTGGGCTGCTATCTTTAACTTCAACCTAGCCCAGCATCCTGAAGAGCCCTGTTTTATTTATTGTCTTTATATCCCAGTCCCAGTTCCCCTTCTGTCTGTTCTTCCTACTTCCCCCATTTCCTTCCCTAAGAAGTCTACTAAGTCTGCCCCATCATCTCCTTAAGTCAGGACCAAGGCACCCCCCCCTTTGCCTAGGCTGAGTAAGGTGTCTCTCCATATAGAATGGGCACATATTGGACCCACTGCCAGTGATCTCATAAATTGTCCCAGCCCCACTTATATTAAGGGAGGCTAGATCAGTCTTACACAGGCTCCCGAGTTGTCAGAACGGAGTCAGTGATCTCTCACTGCGTGGGTCAGCTGATTCTGTGGGTTTCCCCATCATGGTCCTGACTCCTTTGCTCATATCATCGCTCCTCCCTCACTTTGATTGCATTCCAGGAGCTTGACCCAATGAGCCCTGATCTTTAGCCCAGCACATCACTGAGAACTTCCCACTTGTCACCAGGGAAAAGCTCCCTAAAGCCATCCCTGGGGGGCAGATAGGAGCACAGAGAAGGGCTGATGTTGCTTAGTTGGCCTAGACATTTTTCTTGCTTCATGGGTAACAATCTAAGATGTGGCCCAAGACAGCCCAAAGCCTGGTGGCAGGTAGGGTAAATAGGTTTAGGGAATAGGCTTTCCCTTCCTTCCTGGGGTCAGCAGGATCCACAGAAACATAACCAAAGGACCACCATCCCTGGCTAGCTTTGGGGACCTCAGGCAGGCCAAATTCATAACCAGGGTCTCCTAATTTCCTGAGTGAAGTTTTTGATGCCAGGCTCAACCCACTGCCAGGCCAACTCTGGGTGTACTTCTGAGGTCTTTGGAGTCTAGTTCTACCCAAGATAACCCTAAACAAATAGTTTGGTTTCACTAGCAATGTGACAGCCAGACTGCAGAATGGCAGCAAGAGGTCTTGGCCCAGGGCACTCAAGACTGTAAAGGGTAGGACCATAACAAAGGCCCCTTCTGTAGGGCAGCCTTACCTGAGTCAGGTGCCACAGAACTGCCTGGGCACAGGGTTACTGATAACCCCAGGAAGAACCCTTAGTGACTGACTAGCCAGGATAGAAGCTCCATGGTATGAGGAGGTAGAGACCCCTCAGGGTGGGTGGACCAGCAGGCACGGAGATATACTCAGTGAATAGGGGATAGAAGATAGTGAGAAATGGAAGGCATGTCCCAGCTGTATCACTGGAAAATGCCCCCACCCACAGAACTATGAGCATTGAATACTATAAACAGGGAACTGAGGCTAGGCACTGGCAGTGATTTGCCCAGGTCATGTGGTTAACTAGTACCCTAGCCAGAGCTTGAACCCAGAGAAGCCCAACTCCAGAATGAGAGAAGTCAGTCCTAACCCATGGCATAGACTCCCCAGTGAACTCTCTGTTCCCTCTTGTCCCCCTCCTGCATCCTCTCCCCAACATCCCCACTCTAGATAAACTGAAATGTTTCCAATTAGGGCTATTCTGGACCAGACCTGCCTGTGAGCTGTCCACGGTGGCTCCCCCGCCCCTGCCTTAGTCCTGATTGCCTCCCCAAGGGGGCTCACTTACCCAGGTCATTACCGCTAATCAGCAGATTCCTGGGAAGCCTTTGCAATGCTTGGGGGTGGGGCAGTAGGTGTTTGCTGTGCCAGCTGCTCCTGAGGGTCCCATGGATGCCTGTCCCTCTGTCCCTAACAGTGGCCTGACTACACTCTGCCTGCCCCCACTTCCAGGAGCCTGGGAAGAGCTTCAGGTATCCTACCAGGTAGTCCTAGACAGAATCCTGTTAGTCTGGGGCTGGGTAGGCAAATGCCTGGGGACTTCAGGGAGAGGGAGGGGACAGTGGCTAGGGAAGCAAAGCCCCCCAGACCCTTCACCAGTTAGCCCCAGGTACTGGGGAGCACTGGGTGCCATGCCTGAGAGTAGCTACAGGCCCTAGGAGCTGCCTGCACCACTCAGCAGGAAGGGCTCCATCAGTACCCCACTTCTTGGTTAGTACCCTACTTTTAGGTGAGCAGATGCCTAGGTTAAAGCCAAGAAGATAGCCGTGCTCCTTGCATGGGCTGTGTGCCTCTGGCCCAGGGAAACCTGCTTTAACCATAGAAAACACAGCAAGTGAGCAGAAGAATGGAGTGTTGGTCATATCCACCCAGGCACTGACAGCTTGTGAGGAGGCAGGCAAGACTTGCAGGCCATGTTGAGAAAGCTGGACTCCAGGGCTGAGGAGAGGCCGATCCACCCAGGGACCATTTGCCTCTGCAGTCTGAGCCCGCACAGGCAGGCTTCATAGGTGATGCCACCAGGCCAAATGGATATGCTTGGGCCAGGAAGCCATCTGAGAGACATACCATGCACGTTCCCTTTCTCTGGTCTGTGCTGGTGTGGGCCAGGTCTTCAGGAAGGGACATGGCTTAGGACACTCACCTTTGCTCCTAGGCTAGGAAGTCATCCTAACCACCCACCTCAGGGGTCTATATTCTGTTTCTGTGTGGCGTGGGAGCAGGGGGAGTTATATGGTGGGTGGAGTATGGCAGACAGAGGCAGCAAGAAGCCAACTTATCAAGCATTGCCTCATTTGGCCTTTGCCAGGGTGTCGGAGTTGTTCAAAAAGGAAGAATAGTACATAGTCTGCACAGCACATGGAGGAAGCCCAGTCTCTTCACACCTTTGGATCTAAGATTCCTTTGGCAATGAGCTGAGGTTCCCAAGTCTAGGATCACAGGCATGTGTCGCCATGCCTGACATGAACACATTATCTTACTTAAGCCTCCTCACTGTCTTTTGAAGTAGAAATGATCATCATGAAGCCCATAGAGCCCAGAGAGGTTAGGTGACTTGCCCAAGTCACACAGCAGTGACTCAAGCTTGTGCCCTTCTCTAGGTCAGCCTAGGAGCTGGGACATCTGGGGCCTTTCTGCCTCATTGCTGTTGGGCTTGTCTAGTCCTTAGGCTAGGTGCTCCTGGAGGGAAGTACCTATGCCATCCATGTTCATAGCCAAAGGAGGCTAGGAAGTCTTGGCGCTTATTCACTGTTTGTTCAACGAATAGAAGGTGTTTTATCCACTTGGGTACGAGAAGGAAAAGGCATTTCTGGCATCAGGACATCATTGGGCAAAGGCATAGCAGTAGGAAAGTGCCAGTATCACCAGATCCATCACCCATCCAGGGACATGCAGTATACAACTCTAAAACCCTGAAGACCAGAGAGGACCAGTGATCATTGAATGTCCAGATTAGATATCGAATTTTCTAAATTCTGGATCACCATAAAATTCAGTGTCCTTGAATTGTTGAATAGCAATCCTCTGCATGGGAGTGGGCTATACAATGGTGACAAATGGCTATAGAATTAATGCAATGCAGTAATGGTGTAAAGCTCATAACTTATGGCATGCAACAGCATGAGGGCTTAATTAATAGCATGTGTAATTATTATGAGACTGCAGCAGCTAGCCCTGGTTCCAGCTCATCGCTACCAGTGCTGAATGAATGGAAGGAGCAGTAGTAATTCATGACCGGGAGGACTGAGTCAGTGGCTGGAAGGCTTTGCAGACTGCAAATGTGTTTATTCCCAAGACACAATTCAGGCAGGATAAGGGATATGATTTTGTATTAAAATTAGGTTGTAAGACCCAGAGAGAGACAGTGTCACGCTCCAGATTGCAGGTGGGTAGGCTAGGGCAAACCCTTGCTCTGCCATGTGGCTCTTTGCCTTTTGATTTCCTGGCTTCTTGCAAACTTGACTTGGAGTCTGTTGAGGGAGGGCTGGCCTGCAGATCATATGCCCCTCACACCCTGTCTTTCTTCTGTTTGGTGGTTTTTGGGGTATACAGGGCACTGTCCAAGACGCCAGCAGCCCTGGCACTCAATCAGACGCAACACTGCAAACAGCTGGAGGGCCTAGTGTCGGCGCAGGTGCAGCTCTGCCGAAGCAACCTGGAGCTCATGCGTACCATCGTGCATGCAGCACGGGAGGCCATGAAGGCCTGCCGTAGGGCCTTTGCTGACATGCGCTGGAATTGCTCCTCCATCGAACTCGCCCCCAACTACCTGCTTGATCTGGAGAGAGGTAGGGGCTGTGGGGAGCTGCACTTCTGTGGTGGGAGGATCGAGGCGGAAGCTCTGTGTGTTTGGATAGGTGCATGGATTCATGGGTGGATGGATGAGTGAATAGATGGATGGTTACACAGATGGATAAGCCATGGCTGGGTGGACGCTTGAGCGGATGAGTCATTCATAGATACGGGTTTCAGGCACGAACTGGGGAATGAATAAATATTAGTGAGTGAATATATCAGCACATACATTGGCCCGAGTAACACTTCAGGACACACATGTGCTATAATGCATGGATGGAGGAAGGATATTGTCATAGAGGGCACCAAGGTGGCTCCCTGATGTACTGAAAGCCACGATAATATAATGAGGTGGGCCTAGACAAACCTGGTTGGCAGGAACTGCTTTGATGCACAAAGTATTCAGGACAGCAGAGTAGCTTTGAAGCAGGCTTCCCGGAGGCGGTATGGGAACCTGAGTTCACACAGGCTAATGGGCCACACAAGCGCTTTGTCAAGCAGACATCACTGGGTCTCAGCGATGGCAGCTCTCCCTCCCTGTTGAGATGTCTGAATGCCAGGCAAGCCTTCCCAGGTGGGCTGTGCAGTTAAGGAAACTGAGGCTCTGTAGGAGTGGTGACTGTTAGGTAAAAGACATGGCCAGGATTCAGATATGGGGCCAGGGCAGCCTGGAGACAAGTGGGAGCTCACTGGCTGTGCTCATTTCTTGGGGTTCTGCCACAGTGTCCTTTTCCTGCATACTGGCTGACTTCAAACGATGGAAATGTGCTGTCTCCCAGTTGTGAGTAGTGACCAGATTATAATCCCAGTACTTGAAAGGCAGTGGCAGTAAAATAGCTCCAAAGCAGCCTGGGTTGCGTATTGGCTCATTGTTCCAGAAGCAGCAAGTCTGTGAGTGAGTTGCCAGGAGGGCCATGCTGTCTCCCTGAGTTCTGGAAAGCTCCTGGTGGCTGTGGGCATTCTGGCCTACAGCTGTGTCACACAACCCATGTGTCATATGGTACTCCCTCTCCGTCTGTGTCTGTCTCCTGTGTCTCCCGCAAAGACCAGGCTTTTAAATTGGCTCTTACTCCTGAGTTCCTACAGGGGCTCAGAGGGCTGAGGTCTTTGCTATGCAAAGCACCCCCTGATTCTTTGTGAGGGGCATAGGGTGTGCTGTGGGCTGGGAGGAGCAGACTGGTGACCCTTGCAGTCTTTCTCCTGCACTGCTCTGGTGACAGCTGGGTCCCTCCGTGTGGCTTAACCAGGTGGGTGGAGGAAGATGGCCTCAGGCCTGGGCCTGACCTCCTCCAGCCTTCTGACCCTCACCTCTCCCCAGGTACCCGGGAGTCAGCCTTCGTGTATGCCCTGTCAGCTGCCACCATCAGCCACACCATCGCCCGGGCCTGCACCTCTGGCGACCTGCCCGGCTGCTCCTGCGGCCCTGTCCCAGGTGAGCCACCCGGGCCCGGGAACCGCTGGGGAGGATGTGCGGACAACCTCAGCTACGGGCTCCTCATGGGGGCCAAGTTTTCCGATGCTCCTATGAAGGTGAAAAAAACAGGATCCCAAGCCAATAAACTGATGCGGCTACACAACAGTGAAGTGGGGAGACAGGTAACCACCCCCGCCCGCCCCAGAGGGTGTGCCTGGGCCACTGGCTGGAGAAGGGCCCATGGTGGGCCCCGTGAGGGTGTGGGAGAGGGGACGGACTGGGACCCTGCTGCTCTTCCCTCTCTAGAGCTTGGGCTCGCCTGCCCCTTCTCCTCTAGGCAATCTCCAGGATTCAGGTGCTCCAAGCAGAGGGAACAGTGAACTAGGAGCCCAGAACTCAGAGTTCTGCCCTTGGCTCTGGCCCTGAACTTCCTGAGTGGTGACTTACTTCCTCTTTGGGCTCATTCCTTCCCATCTATAAAGTGGTGACAGGGTGGGCTCCTGCAAGTTCCTCAGCCTTCCTCCAAGACAGGGAGGGGCTGGGCCACTGGCTTTGTACCATACCACCTCTCTGTAATGGGGAGGGGGTTCCACACTGCCTTGAGAGAATGGCTCCCCAGCATCTCCTACTAGTGTCTCCCTATTTCTCACTTACTGCCCGTGTGTGTCTAGGGATCCAACTCAGGTGGTCAGGACCGCAGCAATCACCTTTACTTCTGAACAGTTTTGCACCAGTCCATGGTGTGAACGTTTGCTCTACTCTTTCCCTCCTGGGATCCCAGAACAACTCCCAGAAGGTTCTATTGTCCCTTTTCCACTGATAGGGAAAAGACCCTAGGAAGTGCCCTGTGCAGAAGGAACCTCCCACATGATTTAACCCTGGGTGGCTCAGCCAGAAGCAAATGGCCCGAGGAAGCTGGATCTGTAGAAACTACATGTCCTTACCTATCACTGGTGTCTCTCATGTCAGGACTCTTGAATGTCTAGGCCATCCCTGGACATTCTGGGAAAACCGAGGCCAAACCACACTGTGGGTCTACTTCAGAGCCTAGCCAGGGACTCCTACCTCCCAGTACTGGGGCTTGCCCCATTGTAGGAAGCCAGAGAGCTTCTATCTAGCTCCACTATACACTATGGCAACCTCAGCCTCCAGCTGGGGTGCACTCCCCCTAAACTCTAGTGCAGTGCAAGGGGATATTTGGTTTTCATCTCAGGGCACATCCGGTCTGTTCTTGAAGCCACCTGCAAAAGGTGAATGCTGTTCCCGGTAGTCTGGGGCTGTGTGAGGATTAAATGACACCATGACTAGGCAGTTTAGCACCTGCCCATGAGTGTCCACCCCTTCCCCGACATGACTCAAGGAACTGAGCTTCAGGGCTCTGTCCCTGGTGCCTGCAGCCCTATATGTCTCATTCTTCTCCCTCCTAGGCTTCCAGCAAGTTCCAGACTTTACACCTAGTATATTTCTTCAGTCCCCATTTCCTGTTACAATGATAAGGATGATTTCTGACACTTGGCCTAGCTCCCTGCTAACTCACTGACTGAGGGATTGTGGCAAGGCCAAGCTGATCCTAGCCTCAGTTTCCCCAGCCAGGTAATGCAGGAGATGAGTCCAGATGACCCTCGCTGGACAGGGGAGAGGGCAGTGCCCTGTGAGCAGAAGAGGGGTTTGAAGAGTTGACAAAGGCCCTTAGAAGGTGTCTGACCTCTGATCCTCAGGCACCAACAGGGAACTGAGGCCCAGGGAAGAAGACAGTGGGAAGTCATTTCTCAGACCAGGACTGGATCCTGCCTAAGGGCCTGGCCCAAGGGTTTCCAGTTTCCCCCACAGCTCTGATTAAAACTGCATGTTCAGAGCCAATATTGATTTAAACTGCTGTAACTCACACACCCCTTTGGTACAGCTCATTTAACCCTTACAGCACTCTACCAGGAAGCAGCAGCATGCCAGCTTCATACTTCAAAACAGAGGCTCTGAGTGTCGACAGAGGGTCCCCTGGCAGCTGTGGGTGGGTCCAGAAGGAGGTGCCCCCCCAGGCCCTCATCCTCTCTCCCCCATCCCTCCTCAGCTGCCTTCCTCCTTGCTCTTCTTTTCCTTGCTGCTCCTCTGGCAAGCCTCTAGTGAGTCCTGGTTTTGTGGGAGAGAGAAGGCATGGAACAACTAAAAGTCATAGCTTTGGAATCACTGTCAGGTGCAGGTTCAAGTCCCAGCCCTACAATTTTCTAACTGCAAACTTAGGTGTCCGACTTAGCATATTTGAGCCTTCCTGTTTAGGGCAGAGGAAAGAGTGGGTCTCCCAGACGGGCTGTGGCAGCTGTGTTAGAGCATTTGCACAGTGTATATCTGAGAAGTGGCATCTGCAAATGCCACTCTTCCCTGCCTGCCCCTCTTAGCTGCCCTGGTGTGGAAGCATAACCCCCAACCCCTCCTAGCTTTAGAGCCAAATGCTCCATCCCTTGAGGATGCAGTGGGACATGAATCCCCAAGAACACCCAGGCATGGAATGGGGGGCCAGAGCCCTGACAGGCCAGGGAGGGATTCTGGCCACCCTGCTGACACCCTGCCTGTCCGCAGGCTCTACGCGCCTCCCTGGAAACGAAGTGTAAGTGCCACGGGGTGTCTGGCTCCTGTTCCATCCGCACCTGTTGGAAGGGGCTACAAGAGCTCCGCGATGTGGCAGCTGACCTCAAGACCCGCTACCTTTCTGCCACGAAAGTGGTGCACCGGCCTATGGGCACCCGCAAGCACTTGGTGCCCAAGGACCTGGATATCCGACCTGTGAAGGACTCAGAACTAGTGTATCTGCAGAGCTCCCCTGACTTCTGTATGAAGAACGAGAAGGTGGGATCCCATGGGACCCAAGACAGGTAAGTTCCATGCTACCCACACAAATGCTGCATTCAGGGCTGGGCCAGGACAGTGGTGACTCAGCTGGCGTCTGGAGAGTGGAGTCTTTGCCCAGTGTGGGGAGGAGGTTCCAGGGAGAGACTAAGGGGATTCCGGGGGTAGAGGCTGACAGCCCCACCTTTTCCCTAGATGGGAAGTAACAGCAGCAGTGCTGTAAGACAGGGACTAGGAAGGGCTGCCCAACAAGAAACAAACTCAATAAACGTCACCCGAACAGAAGGATAAATGCCCACCCTGCTGATTGAACAAAAGAGGAACTAAGAGGCACAAGGAGAAGTGAAGGCAGCAGCATCCAACCTAAGGCATTCAGGCAGAACAAACGAGCTTTGTAGAGAGGATACTCCTTTGTCCCCTGATAAGTGCCCCTCCCTAGGCTCTGGTCCTCCCATATCCCCTGGGGACTACCTGGATTGGCCCTGGGGTCTCTACAGCTGGCTCAGGCCTGGCTCTGGATAGGGAGACAGGGAAGACAAGGAAGGAGCCCATGATAATGGTTCCCTGCAGATCTATGGTGTACCAGGTATTAAGGAGCTAGGTGGCTGCATGCGTAAAGATGGTTCATGAAAACCCAGGGAAACAAGGTCTATGATCAGATGCACCTGGGAAGCTCTCTGGCCATCCCCCAAGGCCCGAGGGAGCCTCAACTAAGGATTTGATTAAACGGAGTTTCCCAGAGGTACACAGCCGGGGAACTCTTTTATTAAGGAGCCCCTCATAGCATTCCATAAGGCTGGTGCTCACAAGGTTAGGGAAATACGGAGCAGAGAGCGGGTGTCTGGGAACGTGTCTGGCACATAGTTGGTGCCCAGCCAGCATCTGCTTCCTCCGCAGCCCACGGTCCAGCCTGGGAGAGGGGAGGGCTGGTTTGGGGCTCTGTGAGGAAGAGGCCCAGGCTCCCATCTGGAGGCCAGATTGAGGGGGTCGGCAGAGTGGAGATGGAGTGGGTCAGGCGAAGGAGACAGGAAGGAACGTGAGTCTGCTTTGAAGCAGCAGGGTGAGTGTGAGCGGCTGAGAAGGGGAGATGATTCTGTAACACAGAGAGGCTGAGCACGGGCCCTAGAGGACCGTGGAATGAACAGAGTCCCCTTGCATTAGCGGAGGACTGCCATAGGCTGTGGGTCAGTACCCTGCCTAGTTCCTCAGTCCCCTACTGCTCTGTCCCCAACTGTACCCCACAGGCCCAGTCCCCCTTCGTCCCTGGCCCAGAGGACAGTACACCTGAATAGCTGCCTCTTGACTAGGCCAGGAAATGGCACAGGAGGCATTGCCTTTCACTGAGACTGCCCTGGTTCCTCACCTCCTGCCATAACTTAGGGGAGGTGGGTGATCAGTGGCCTCCTCACTCTTTCCAGTGAGAGCAACTGCTGCTGCATACTGCATTTACTTTGTAAACAGAAGGGCACGGAGTGCCTCAGGGGAGATGAGTGACTGCAGGCTCCCCTGGACACCCGCAGTCCGCACTCAGTGAGCAAAATGACCAAGCCCACTGTGCTTCCTGGGCTGTTTTAGTGTTCCTGAATGTACCCTGGGCTTTTTAATTGTAAAAACGGCACTCACCTCCATTATAGCATGATTAAAGGTTAACTCTGAAGGCAGGGGCCTAAGGAGGAGGCTCAGTTGATATGGCACCTGCTTTGTGAGCATAAGGATCAGCCAGGCATGGTGGCACACTCCTGGAATCCCAGTACTAGGGAGGCAAAGTCAGGTGGATTTCTGTGAGTTGGAGGCCAGCCTGGTCTATAGCGTGAGTTCCAGGACAGGCTCCAAAGCTACACAGAGAAACCCTGTCTTGAACCCCACTCCCCCACCCAAATGAGGATCTGAGTTCAGATCCCTACCACCCACGCAATGGGTTGAATCTGTAACCCTAACTGTGAGGTGGAGGCAGCGAGAGGAAAGCGACCCAGAACTCGCTGGCCAGTCTTGCCCAGTGGTTTCCTGAGCTCTGGGTTCAATGAGGTCCTTTTTCCTCAGTAGACAGACAGATGATAGATATATACATACCTGATAGATACAGAGATAGAGTAAGACATTCAGTGTGGACCTCTACCTCCACATAAATGCATGCACACATTTGTGCACATGGACCATTAATTACCACACATATACTACACACACACACATACACACACACACTTTTAAAGGATTAAATATGAAGTCAGGATTAATGAACACTGATTTGAAGGGTCTTCTGGGATTTAGGAGAAGGGAACAAAGGAAACCAGACACCTCAGGAAATAAAATAGCGCCAACAATTCCATCGCAGCTTATTGTAAACACAGGAAAGTTAGGGGAGAGGAAAGCCCCAAACATCCATCCCCCTTTTTGGAGGGTTGGGCCGGCCATGAGACATTGCCTGGCAGGGAGAGGCAGGTGCTGGCGGTGACAGGCACTCACTGACCCCTTGTTCCCACCCCCAGGCAGTGCAACAAGACCTCCAATGGCAGTGACAGCTGCGACCTCATGTGCTGTGGGCGTGGCTACAACCCCTACACGGACCGAGTGGTGGAACGATGTCACTGCAAGTACCATTGGTGCTGCTACGTCACCTGCCGCAGGTGTGAGCGCACAGTGGAGCGCTATGTCTGCAAGTGAGGCCACGCGCTCCACCCCTGTGGACGGGGCTGCTCCCTCATAGCCCGCGGAAGGGCCTGGAGACCCTGGTGGGCTCCCCTGAAGAGCCCAGATGCCTGGCGCGGGAGGTGGCTTGTGCTGGGACTCCACTTGGAAGCCACTGGGAACAGGAGGCCTGGCCGCCCCGGGAGGGCCGGGGCATCAAAGGAAACTGATAGGATTAAAAATAACCTGGCAGCCTGGTGCCTGAGTGCCCACATGTTGCCTTCCAGGCTGCTCCAAGAAGCCAGGGCAGGGATGGGTAAGACTGTGTGTATTTGACCTTTCAAGGCCAGAAAGACCAGCCCTCCAGAATGTTCTTTGGGACCCTGTGCCCACCACATGGAACCACTAACTTGGGTTGTAAATTTTTATTTTCCTTCCCCCCCTCCTTTGGGATGTGGGAGCTACAGAAATATTTATAAAGTATAGCTTTTTCTTTGGGGTGGCTCACTTCAATTCCTCTTTATATATTATATATAAAATATAAATATAATGATTATATTTTAAACAACTGTGTGAAATAAATGCTGAGCAAGCCCCAGCCTGCCCCCAAATCTCCAGCCTCCTCATGTGAACCCAGCAGATCCTGGTCTGGCAGGAAGACTCTCCAGTTTCTAGACAAGGCGGCCTCCCATTGATGTCCCAACCTCACCCTCCTGGTCCCCCGACCTGGTCCTGGCCTGTTTCCCTGTATGTGATCTGTTGGTCAAGGGTGAGGACAGACGTCTTGAAACATAAACCCAGTTGGCAGTATATTTATTCCTCAGGGACATTCTTACTACCACAGCACAGCCGTTGGCCGTGCTTTCAGACCCATTAAGCTGGCTGCAAGAAAAGCCACCCCAGGAAGCTGAGACCTTAGGGAGATAACCGTGGTGGGACTGGCCCATACTGTTGCCCTACCTGTGAAGATGGGCTGATGGTGACTAAGGTTGGAAGCTGGGAAAGACCCAGGCTTACAGCGCAAGCCTGGACCAGGCTTGGAGCAGATGATGTGCTAAGATGTAGGGACAAGCAGGACTTCTTCTTTTTCTTGTGTTTTGGGTGTGGCTCCAGAAAGAACTGAGTTTGGTTTGAGTGTGGGGAAGGATGGAAGGCCAGCTGCAAGATGCCGTTGGGGAGAGGGCTGGCATCAGATTTGGACATGGGTGTAGACGGAGGTGCAGGTTGGACTCTCATGTGGAAACCCGAGCAGACATTAGGGTCTGGGTTCTGGGGGAGGCCAGGCTGCAGAGTCACCTTTGTCATTACAGTTAAGTGGGTGCGCTGGCAAAGCCAAGAGGAGCTGGGCCTGTGATGTCTGTCTGCAGGCTGGAGGTGGAGAGTGAAAGGGTGAAGGAAGGAGGGAGGGACAGCCAGAGAGGAGGCAAGAGCTGGGGGGGACATGGCTATACCCTCTGAGCTTTAACGTCCCATCACTTAAAAAAAGTAATGACAATGGAAACAAAAATACACCTAAAGCTGAAGCTTCTAGAAGCTTGTTCTTGCCTGTTTTTTTTGTGGCTCTTCACACTTGACCTTGACCTCCCTGCTGGCCTTGGGTTTCAGAGTTGGGTCTCTAAAGACAACCTTGTTGACTACAATTTTGTCCAAGGGGAGCTCCACAGAGGACCTGAGGACATGAGGCGATTGTAGTTATAAACTCCCACAAAGGAGTTGCTCTTTGACCTCTTGACAACTTTCCTCTTGCCAGTGGCAGTTGCCACTTCTTAGGGATAGTGGGTAACCAGCCACCAGAGCATGGTTGTAAGGGCAGCCTGAGAGGTGCCACCTTCAGTGCCCTTTACAATGACAGCCGTGCATCTAGCTTCCAACCAGCAAACTTCCCTGAGCTTCATGCACTTTCCCAGTTTAACAGCAAGCTGCAGAAAGTAAGGTTATTTCTTGAAAACGTGACGCAGGGAGCAGGCCTGGCCCATGGAAGTCCCCAAGACAGAAGTGATTGTGAAGCACCTGCATCTTTCACTGTTTGTGGGGTGGCTCACCCAGGACCAAGGATACAAAAGAATGTCCAAACAGTTTCTGTCTGTGGCTCCCACAGATCCAGCTGGAAACTGAGAGGTGCCCACAGAAGCCCTGCTGGGTAAGCCTCAGAGCCTGGGCAGAGTTTCATGGAGGGAAACAGAGACTCCTGGTGGTGCAGGGAGGATGGAACAGAGGATTTGCCAGGAACCAGGCAAGTCATCTGGTGGGAGAGAGTAGGGTTTTGTAGCTATCCAAGCTCTGCCTGTGAGTTTGTGGTGGTGGTGGTGGGGGTAGCAGTCACAGAATCACAAGCTGGAAAGAACCTCTAGATAAGTCTGCTCTCCTCTGAGACTGTTTTCCAGATGAGGAAACTCCAGATGGGCAGGGCCGTCCTGGGGCCACTGCCAAAGGGGCTGGTGGTAGAGAGATATCCTTGTCTCTTATGTGTGTTCCCTCCTGGGTCATGGGGCCCACAGAGCCAGTCCTCAGCACTTGGCCCATCCCAGTCATAGACTAACCTCCTGCCGTAGCCCCTAAAGCTCACCACCCCTCAGCTCTGCCATAAAGCCTGCCTGCTTAGATGCCTAGCTTGGTCCTTCCAGAGCCCCAGAATTGTCCCTCCTCTGGCCCCTCACCACCCTTGAACCTTTCAAACAACGGGCTCAATTCCCTCTCCCCCAGTCAGTCAAAGCTGTCCTCCCAGGCCCAGGTAGACAACTCCCTTCTTCAGTGAGCTGTCCTTGATCACCTCTAGCCAGAATGGGTCTCTCCCATTTCCCACTGAGTCTATCTAGGCTGAGACTCACTCAACCCAATGGAGCTGAGTATAAAACTCTCCTCAGGAGGGTTGAATCTGGGGCTGTCTTTTGAACCTTACTTGGGACAAGAAAATGCAGGCCACGTGGTGAAAAGTAGCCGTGTTAGTATAAACAGGATTGCTTACTCTGTACCTTCTGTGTCCTGGTCCACCGTATCCCAAGCCATCTTCTCAGCAATCTCCCCATAGATAATGTCACTACCTGGCAGGTGGAAACGTGGGTTCCCAAAGGACAGGTGACTTACCCCAAATCATGACCTGCTCTCAACAGAGTGGGTCTCGGAGCCCTGGCGTGCCCCTAGCATTCTGCATAGGAGGGGGATTTGATAGCTCAGAGCAGGAGAGCAGGCTGGCCCCTGACTCAGTGGGCCATTGTGCCTGCCATTGGCTAATCTCTAGATCCATCATGAAGCCCTGAACCTTCTGGCTAGCTAAAAGCTAGGCAGGAGGGAAATCACTGGATGCTTCCTCGAGGGCTCCCTACCTCAGGCTTCAGGGTCAGATCCTGCTGGACCTACTCAGCAGGGGTCAGGGCTTCATTGTGAGTCACAGCCTCCCCAGGGTGTCACAGCCCTAGTGTTTACTGTATTCAGAGATTTAGAACTCTGTACCTTCGAGTTCGGAGTAAAACCTTCCATCCCACACTGGATAGCCTAGAGGACAGACAGGACATCAGAATTTTAGCCACAGCAGGTTTCTCATCTGTACCATCCTGAGTCAGGGGTGGCCAACCCAGACTCTGAACTGAACAGCTTAGACCTGTGTGGGAGGCTGGCTAGAGTCTCTGGAGACAGGCCTTGGGAGAGACAAGACGGCGGGAGGAAACAGGAACTTTCCAAGAGAGGCAAAGATTAGTTGGTGGGAAAGGAGAGAATGGACAGATAAGGCCTTGTGGAGAGGTGGCTCAGGCCAGAGGAGCCACACCATGTGGGGCCCAGTCCAGCCCCAAACATCTTTGCTATGCTCTGCCACAGACCAGGGGACACAGAGCAGGTCCTAGACATGAGTCCAGGCCCCAGAGAGGCCAGATGGTGTACAATGAGGTCTGGCATCACCCAGCATCTTGTGGTGTGACTCCAGGCAACTTCCGGCCCTCACTGGGTTTCTGCAGCCGTTGTCTTTAGCTTTCATAACTATTCTGTGACATAGGGCCCACTAGCTCTGTTTTATTAGTGAGCAAGCAAACTCATAAAAGGAAAAAAAATATGTTTTAAGATCTTGGCATACCAGTGGCAAAGTTAGGGTTCAAATACCAAGCTGTCTAGCTTCTAAGCCTGTCCTCGACTTCCATATGCGCTGCCCAGGACTGACAGGAGCCTCTGCTGAGTGGGGCTTGGTGTCACAGAGGAAGGAGAGGACAATCCAGGACTCAGTAGTTTGCATGTCTGTGGCTTTATTGCCAGGACGTCCCCAAGTGAACTACTACAGGCTGGGCTGCCCCCTGCCTGTCCACCAGGCCACTGCCCACCTGCATAGATGGCTGGCTGCAAGCAGAGTACTTGAGCAGTCATACTTTTTAAAATTAATTTATTTTTACATTCCAATCCCAGGTTCCCCTCCCTACTCTCCTGCTTCCCCCATTTCCCCCGCACCTCCCATCTACTCCTCCAAGAGGGTAGGATCTCCCCTAGGAAGTCTGCTAAATCTGTCCCGTAATCTCCTTGAGGCAGGACCAAGGCACCTCTCCACCCCCACACCCCTGTGTCTAGGCTGGACAAGTTATCTCTCCATATAGATTGGGCTCCACTAAGTCAGTTTGTGCATTAGTGTTAGATCTTAGACCCACTGCCAGTGGTCTCATACTGTCCCAGCCACACCATTGTCACCTATATTAAGTGAGTCTAGTTCGGTCTTATGCAGGCTCCCCTCATGCAGCTTGGGTCAGCTGACTCTGTGGGTTTCCCCCATCATGGTCTTGACTCCTTTGTTCATATTATCACTCCTCCCTCACTTTGATTGTACTCCAGGAGCTCCCTCAGCCTAATGTTTGGTTGTAGATGTCTGCATCGAGCAGTCATACTTCTAACGGGTTCCCTTGCTCACATGGCTAAACAATATCGGCTCCTCAGGCTGGTGGCTGCTGAGGAAATTCTCCTTATCAGTCCTGGACCCCCATTGTTTCACTTGCATAGACCTCAGGGTGAGGGTGGGAGGTGGCTGAGGGAAAAGGAGCAGGAGAAAGAGGCTTGCCCACAGCCACGGAGCTGATGGGTAAAGACAAGACCTGGAGAGCATGTGCTCCAGTGCTCCTGGGGGCACAGATGACATTGAACTCCAAATGTTTATTTTATATCCTCACTGCCTCTGCCTCTGCCTCCATAAAAGTGTGCTAGACTCAAGGGGGCTGAAGAGCAGGAGACAGGCTTGGAGGCACAGGGGCTGCAGCCAGCAGAGTCTGAACTTGAAGGTTCCTCCCAGCTTTATATTCACAGTCACGGAGGGTTTCCTTGACTCTGGGCCTCTTCTTGGAAACATCCCAGGACACAAGGATGCTGATTCTAGCTTGTCTATGGTCTAGAAAACCCCAAACCATTCCCTCTGCCTTTCTCCACCAGGGATGCAGTTTGTCTTGTGCCAGCCTCCCTCCCTCCCTCACACCTCCTGTCCCAAGCCATCTCCTCACTCCAGTGCCAGCCAGTCCATCTGGCTCTGAGCAGGCAGCCACCCCAGTTCTATAACCCTAGAATTTACCTAGAGGGATAGCAGAATGGCTGCCTCAACAAGGCCCA